TGAGGCAGGAAGATGGCTGGAGCCTGGCTGCAGTGAGCTATGATCACGCCACAACAGCCTGAGTGATGGAGTGAGACCCTGTCTCAAAAAAAAAAAAAAAAAAAAAAGGTGCAGTGGCTCACACCTATAATCCTAGCAATTTGGGAGGCTGATGTGGATTGATGGGTTGGGCCCAGGAGTTCGAGACCAGCCTGAGCAACATGGTGAAACCCCATGTCTACGATAAAATAGAAAAATTAGCTGGACATGGTTTGTGTACCTGCGGTCCCAGCTGCTCAGGAGGCTGAAGCAGGAGGATCACCCGAGCCCAGGAGTTCAAGACTGCAATAAACCATGATCATGCCACTGCACTCCAGCCAAGATGACAGAGTGAAAGGGTATCTCAAAAAAAAAAAAAAAAAGATAAACATTTCAGTGTCAGGCTATTAACAGCAGAGTGAGAACTGGAGGGAAAAAATTAAGTGGAGCTGACAAAAAGGTTGAAGGAGAGAGTTATCACCCTAGCCAAGCAAAAAGATACAGTTTTTCAAGGGTAGAAAGAACAGAAGGCAATGGTGTATGACCTGCAAATCATGTGCAGGAGGGGTACAGCAAAAGTTGAACTTCTGATATAAATCTGAGAAGTTTCAGAAAGAACAATTTTACCTTGAGAAGTGAAATTACCATTCTGAGTGAAAAAGACAGCATTTCCAACCTGGAACTAGGGAAATTAATTAGATCCCAGGAAGAAATAGAAACTGTAGTTTTGCAGATGGCTGTTCAACAGATTTTAGAATTTAAAATCAAAACCTCTTTCAGTTTTATTAATACTAAGAGCAAATTAATACTTTAAGAAAACCTTATTGTTCTAACAGAGGACCAAGCTTTTTAGTTTTGTATTAGTGTATTTATAATAGCAAAGCTCAATCTTTAGAAAGACTTGTAAACAATTCTCTTCAATTATAGCCAACTTGACCACACACAAAATCTTTTATGAACCTTATCACAGCTTACATTGATGACATGCTTGGACTTTCTGCTCTGTTGTATACCTTCCTCTTTCTTAACCAGTCATTTTACTTTAGGACAAAAGTCTACCATACAAGATTCTTTTGTGTACAAAGTTATTCTCTTTTTCACCTTTTTTTTAACCAAAAATATATCTTTGTAACTTTCTTCACATCTCTCTCTCCTACTGACTGATTTGTTTCTTATTCCATATTTTGAAATAGGCTTTAAATAACCTTCAAATTACACAAAATTCTTCTTTATTTAATCTTGGCTAACATGTCATAAGCAGTGAGTTTTATCTCAACATGAATGGAAAAGTCAGCAGATTTCAAAGTATAAAGAAAAAAAGAACTTAGATCGAATACATTCTATAGTTGCAGGTTTTTGAATGATGATAATTTGAGCTGTACATTTTTCTTGATGTAATTTTGCTCATCAGTTTAAAAACGTGCACAAGAATAGGCTGTAAGATGTAGTCTGCTGGAATCCCAGAAAACCTGGCATGTTTTAACATTTGAGAATCCCATTCTGTTCTTATTACTCTCCTGAGAGGAAAGAAAATTCTGCAAATCCTGTCAGGGAAAGTCGGGAGTTTAGACCTGTGTTTTAGGTGGTGGTGACTGCCCTAGTGGTTTGTCTTTTTTTTTTTTCTTTTTTCTTTTGAGACAGTCTTACTCTGTCACCCAGGCTGCAGTACAGTGGCATGATCTTGGCTAATTGCAACTTCCACCTCCCGGGTTCAGGCGATTCTCCTGCCTCAGTCTCCTGAGAAGCTGAGATTACAGGCATGCACCACCACGCCTGGCTAATTCATGTATTTCTAGTAGAGACAGGATTTCACCATTTTGGCCAGGCTCGTCTCTAACTCCCAACCCCAGGTGATCCGCCCACCTCAGTCTCCCAAAGTGCAGGAATTACAGGTGTGAGCCACTGTGCCTGGCCCTAGTGGTTTTTAGTTAGCCATCTTGTGCCCACCATTCAGAATCTTTATTTTTGCTCGTGGAAGATTTTCAGAAGAAGCAAGGGAAAAGAGTCAAACCAAATCAAAAGCCAAAATAAGGATGTTCACAAATATTTTAGCCCAGGCATTGCAGATCAAACAAAATATTAAATTGAGTACACAGACAAAATCAAAAGTAAATTCACCAGAAGACGTGAACAGAATGTAAATTCTGTAGAAACCAAGAATACCCAATCTAAAAAGACATTTTTCTTTACACCAGAAAGGACTTACCAGGAAATACATAAAGTTTATCATCTCAAAAAGGGATGTATGGTCCTTTATTAAGGTGACCTTATCCAAACCAGATCCCAAATGATATCAAGAAGCCTCTACCAAAGGGAAGGAGGCTTAGCCTGAGAGAAAATTCACCAGGGCAGAAAAGGCAAGCCATGGAAGTAGAGTGCTCAGAGCACTCAAGTCAGTACTGCACACTGGTTCTAAGAATCTCTGATTCCTTCAGGTAATACTCTTTTCAGATCCCACTTCTGACACTTTGATATGTCAACCTAAATAACAAACCACCTAAATAACAAATTCTCAAAAATTGTTTGGGATTAGAGCATCACAATGGGAATACACATGCCATAGTAAACCATGTGCTTATTCAGGGAGGTAAAGGCAGGCAGGTTTTTAAAGGAAAAAATGAGAAGGATTACATAATTGTTTTGGAAATAATTATCCTTGGCTACAAAGATCATTAACAAGGGTAATGCCAGTTCAAGTTTGCACAGGCAGTTTGCTGGGCAGATGTCCTTGTAGAAGCATTTTTTGTATAAGGTTTAATGGCCTTTGTGCAGGGTTGTATTTTTTGTAGTCTTTTTTGATATCAGGCATACAAGGATGAGAACCTTATTTTCATGGCCTTTCCCAGCTCTGTCAGGATTTTCTTCACATTAGTGATTTCATTTTGATTTTGACAACTTTCATAGTTATTCCATTAACTTGTATTTGTATGTGAGAAAATACTATAAAGAAGGAATTGGGTTGGTCTAAGTGCAGTGGTCATTTACATCTAATTGATCACAACCAGTTACAGATTTGTTTGTTCCTTCCCCACTCCCACTGCTTAACTTGCCTAGCCTAAAAACAAAAAAAGAATTGGTTAAGCAAATATTCAGGAATAAAACTTCATGTGTCATCATAAAAGTAATTGTTTAAAAGCAAACGTTTTAAATACACATTTTAACATAAATTTGAGAGGACTTATCGTTTTCAATCTGACACTGATAAGTAGTTTTTGCTTCATTTACTTATTTATGAATGAATGAACAAGACAAGGTCTTGTTCTGTCGCCCAGGCTGGAGTGCAGTGGCGCCATCATGGCTCACCGCAGCCTCAAACTCCTGGCCTCAAGCCACCCTCCTGTCTCAGCCTCCTAACTGGAATTACAGCCATGTGTCACCATGCCTGTTTAATTTTTTTTTTTTCATTTTGTATTTTTCCCTGGTAAATTTAAAAAAAAATTTTTTTAAGAGACAGGGTCTTGCTATATTGCCCAGGCTAGTTTTTGCATCTTTAAAACCGAATACTTAGCTGGGTGTGGTGGTGCACGTGCCTGTAGTCCTAGGTGTTCAAAAGGTTAAGGCAGGAGGATTATTTGAGCCTAGGAGTTCTGAGCTCTAGTGCACTATGCTGACTGGGTGTCCACATTAAGTTCAGCATCAGTGTAGTAAACTCCCAGGAGCTGGGAACCCCCAGGTTACCTAAGGAGGGGTAAACTAGCCCAGGTTAGAAATGCAGCAGGTCAGAACTCCCATGCTGATCAGTAGTGGGATCATACCTATGAATAGTCTCTGCACTCCAGCATGGACATAGTGAGACCTCATCACTTTAAAAAAGCAAAATGAACAAACCCTGAATATTTTAAGTTAGAGATGGAGTTAAAAATATTTTTAGTTAAGCAGAATCATGTCAGTTTTTTTTGGGGGGGGTTGGTTTGTTTGTTTTGAGACGGAGTCTCACCCTGTCGCCTAGGCTGGAGTGCAGTGGTGCAGTCGTGGCTCACTGCCACCTCCGTCTCCCAGGTTCAAGCAATTCTCCTGCCTCGGCCTCCTGACTAGCTGGGACTATAGGCACCTGCCACCATGCCCGGCTAACTTTTGTATTTTTAGTAGAGAAGGGGTTTCACTATGCTGGCCAGGTTGGTCTCGACCTCCTGACCTCGTGATCCACCTACCTCGGCCTCCTAAAGTGCTGGGATTACAGGCATGAGCCACCGTGCCCAGTCCCTGCACTAATTTTTTAAACAAAGTCCTGTTGGTGCTCCTTTCAAAATTTATCTCCTGTCTGACCATTTTACCGCTTCTGCAACCACCCTTCCGACTCAGCCACTGTTCTGTTTGGTTTGGGTTACATAGTGGCATCCTACCTGGTCTTCCTGTTTCCACTCTTATATCCCTAGAGCATATTCTCCATAAACCACCAGAGTGATCTTCTAAAATAAAAGCGTAAATTATGTTCAGAACCCTCCAGTGGCATCCATCTCATGTAAATAACCACTCCTGCCTACATGATGCCACCTCACTTGCCCCAGCTGCCTCATTGTATAGTTCCCTCTGCACAATGCCCTCTTTGCCACAGCTGTGTGCTCCTGCTGACCTTTGGGCGAGCCCACCAGTCACACTTCTGCCTGAGGGCCTTGCACGTGCTCTGACTGCTGCCTGAGATACTTATCCCCATCACTATGATCACCTTCCCAGAGAGGCATTTCCTGGCTTCCCTATCTGAGATAGCCTCTGTTTCCTCATCAGCATCATTTCTGTCTGCTGACTCTACTTTGTCTGTTGGTTGATTTTTGCACTAAGCATACTACCAGAAGCTTTTCTCTCAATTTGCTTTCCCACAGTAAAAGAGCAGGGCCTTTGTCTTGTCCATTAGTTTCTCCTCAGAACAGTGCCTCCCAGGTGTTCAACAAATACTTGCTAAATAGAAGATGGCTGATAGCAAAAAGATTTATGTCTATGTGTAGGGACTTGGTCTTTATTGACATTGTGCTTTTATTCCCTAGAGACCCTGAAATATGGCGTCTGGCCTGCTTGAAAGTTTGGGGCAGAAGCTGTATTAAACTTGTTCCATACACATCCTGGAGAGAGATGTTTTTAGAACGGCCTCGTGTTCGGTTTGATGGTAGGTTGGATTCTGTAGAACTCAGCAGAAATAGTGATCTGTAATGCTGATTTTTATAAATATGCCATTTCAATTTTCCATGATGAATGTGAGTACTGTAAGCATGTTTAAAGGAAACCACAGTAAAATAATGCTGGAAATGTCTTAATATTATAATTTTTAACTTTTTAAAATTATTTTCATAGGAGTGTATATCAGTAAAACCACATATATTCGTCAAGGGGAACAGTCTCTTGATGGTTTCTATAGAGCCTGGCACCAAGTGGAATATTACAGGTACCACTGTAGTACACTGAGTGAGTGGAAAATTCTCTCTCTCCATGTATTAGTTAAATGGACATCTGTTGTTTGTTGCTTTTAATTGACCCACAAAATGGCCCTCAGTATTTTTATCTAGTACTACAATATAAGAATTGCACTCAAAAAACCAATAGGCTAATATAAATTACAGAATTTCTTCTGGCCTCTTTTAGATTTCTCCTTGTCTTTTGCCCTGGGTATATTTGCCTTTTCAAATAGCTTGTGCTTTTATTCCATTTTATTGCTTGCCAAATATTACTGGCATTTAGAAAAAAAATAGACATGTTAACCATTGTGTGTGGATCTCACTTTGTTTGAAATTGTGCTTTCGAAAAAGCACAGAACTTTGATAAGACAATATTTGACTTTTATTCAATGAGTAAAACTTAAAAGTTCAACAGTTTTCCCTGAGGAAGATGATAAAGTATCTTTGGTTCTTTGTTGCTGGACTAACAGGTAGTCAGTCATATTTGTTTTAATGTTTTAGCAGTTCTTTAGCCCATGGTATTTCAGTGTTGGTTTCATAGCTATGAATAGGTGTAGGTACTGATAGGTAAGGACATATTTTATACTTCGTGTGTGGGTTGTGTTTTGGTCTTCTTTTTCTTATTACATAGGTACATAAGATTCTTTCCTGACGGCCATGTGATGATGTTGACAACCCCTGAAGAGCCTCAGTCCATTGTTCCCCGTTTAAGAACTAGGAATACCAGGTAATATTTTTTTTTTAACGGCTTTCCATCCAGTCTACGTTTTATATGGTTGCTTGCAGATTAAAGTAACCCAGTGCTTCCTTCACTTAATACTGGATGATTTTAAAAGCAGTCATTCGGGGGCTTAGGAAAAATACCAATTTCTGGGCTTTTCCTTAGAAAATCTACTTCAGTAGGTCTTTGGAGCCTTGGAATTGAGGTTTACTCAATCTTAACTGATTCTTTTCAAGCAAGAATAAACACTGTTGTAATTTGTTACTTCTTGGATTACTTAAATCCACTTAATAACTGATTTAGATTCAATTTGTGGTTTTTTTAAGGACTGATGCAATTCTACTGGGTCACTATCGCTTGTCACAAGACACAGACAATCAGACCAAAGTATTTGCTGTAATAACTAAGAAAAAAGAAGAAGTGAGTATACGAGGTGGAATTAATAGTTTTCTTACCTTAATAGCCTATTCATCCAAGCATTCTCGATTAGAACGACAAAGAAACCCTGTCTGATTATTATAAAATGTATATTAACTTCTAGCAATCACTGAAGAAAGCTGGAGAGTTTTCTAAAATGTGGTTATTTTTTATTGGATCAGCTTGTTTTTTACCAGATAGTTTGTTTTTTATATATGAAAATGTAAAGCTGAAATCTCTTGTGAAATAACTGGTAAAATTATACCTGAATATGTTTTTGGCTCTGCTCATTTCGAATCACAGGGATTTTTTCTTCCTAAATTAGCTCATACAGTTAATTCTTTCCATAAGGATACTGTTAGAACTTTAGTTTCTACTGGAAATAACGTAACTTCAGATAATTTTCTTCCTGCTCTTATAAAAGGAAAAAAATGCCAAGCAAATATGATTACTGACATTCTAGAGTGCTTTAAATTCTCTTAACAGATTGGTAGCCTAATTTTTTCACAACCTTTCTCCATATGCATGCTTTCAATCCTGGTTAAAAATTGTTATATGTACCCAAGAAGCCAGTTGTATGGTATTTGAAATAAATATTAATATTTACTTGTTGCCTTTATAATTAATACAGCTTTTGAAGGATATTTCTCTTGTATGAAATCCCCCCTTCTCTAACATCATATATCAAGACAGGACAGAATTTCATCTGCGAGTCCTATAACCTTGTGGCTGCCTGTTGCTGGCATCCCCAGTTCCCTCTGATGGGTTCCTGGAGCCTGTGCAGACAAAGAGAGTTGCTTTGACTGTGACTGCAGGTTTCCTGAAGTCAAAATTGGGAATTTGGAAGGCCTTAGTTGCTTAGGTTTTATCTAATAAAAGAGTTTAGGAACTCCCATGTAGAATGTCAATTTTCTCTTCAGAATATGATGAAACATTCATAGTGGGTTTTTTTGTTTGTTTTAGCAGCAGTATTTGCAGAAGTGTAATTCTAATGAAACTTGTCACAGCTGTTTGCTCACTTATTTTACTGTTATTGCAAAAGATAAGTTATACTCTGTGCTTTTTCTACATCTTCTACCAATTTATCACTTTCCCTCTTAAAAAATGTCCAAGTGTTTTCCAGTAGAAGGAAATACTAGGCTTAAAGGTAGGAGATAATAATTTTACATCCCATCTATGTAACATTGGTTACATAGTAGTTTTACCTCCCTGGATCTTCATTTTTCTAGCTAGTAAATAGCAATAATGCAATCATATTTAACACATGAGGTTATTGTGATGATTAACTGAGATGATGATGATGATGGGGAAAACCTGATATTTTTAGAGTATTTAACAATTTTTAAAGCACTCATATGTTCTGGTAATATTCAAAACAACTCTTTACTGCATGCAAATATTATGTTACTTTTAGTGTCACTGTTGCATAATATTTCTATAAACGTAGAAGTGAGGTAAGGTTTCATTATAGGTTTATGCATCTTTTCTTTTGCAGAAACCACTTGACTATAAATACAGATATTTTCGTCGTGTCCCTGTACAAGAAGCAGATCAGAGTTTTCATGTGGGGCTACAGCTATGTTCCAGTGGCCACCAGAGGTTCAACAAACTCATCTGGATACATCATTCTTGTCACATTACTTACAAGTAGGTGAATGCAATAAAAATAACAAGGTTGCACTATAAATGTATACTTCATATCCAGCTTAAGAATTTCAGATGTTTCTAATTTCTCTGAGTTACATTACAAACTAAAACCAATACTACTACAAACTACTACAAACCAAGAAAATGGCCCAAATGAAAAAGACTAAGCATGCTTGAGGAAGCAGAGCATCTGGAACACTCATATAGTGCCCATTGGAATGTGAATTGGTACCACCACTTTGGAAATAAAAGTAGCATTCCATGGGGAGAATGGTACTTAGTCAGCTGTGAGCTGTCCATGCATGACTTAAAGCCATTTTAAAATACCACATCATTTTTCTTTTCCCACAGTTCAGTTACCATTTTTTGCTTTATTTCCTTTGTTTTATCCTCAGGGCTTATACACTGATTTAATAAAATTGTAGTTGGGAAAGTAAGTCTACTAAAAAAATAAGATTGCAGGTATTCCAAAGCCAAATCTGTTAGGTAATTCCTATTTAAAACTCTTTGTTCTATGCAGTAGCATTTACCTGTACATCATAATCAGTGAACTGAAGAGGGGAGGTGTGAGAAAGGAGCCACTATACAGAAATACATAAAACTTAAAAAGGAAGTGAAATATCAAGTCCTGTGGCTATTAAGGTTAATTAGCTCTTGTTCGATTTGAAAGAATATTGGTACGTGACTGAAGGCTCTTCGTTCTGCTTGAATCCAAAATTCTGAGAGAGAAGTTTTGAGGTCAGCTTTCATTAGCCTCTTTGCAACCTTAACCACATTGTTGAAAACTGTGTCAAATAACTTTTCCCCGCTCATTTGGAAGGTCCTGACAACAGAACAATTTCTTTCTCACTTTTGCCTACCAATTCTACTATATCTCCTTTTTGCTTCTCTCTGTAATGCTGTGGAATTTTTTTCTACTTTTCAAAGAAAGAAATCTGGGCAGGTGTGAAGGCTTATGCCTGTAATTCCAGGACTTTTAGAGGCCAAGGCAAGAGGATCACTTGAGGCCAGGAGTTTGAGACCAGCCTGGGCAAAACTGGGTGACCCTATCTCTACAAAAAATAAAAATATTTGCCAGGCATGGTGGTATGCACCTTGAAGTCCCGGCTAATTTGGAGGTTGAGGTGGGAAGATCATTTGAGCCCAGGAGTTCAAGGCTGCAGTGAGCTATGATCATACCACTGCACTCCAGCCTGGGTGATAGAGCAAGACCCTGTCTCAAAAAAGAAAAAAAGAAACCAAACCCTGAAGTAGAACCAAGCAAATGAACAACGGATGGTTATAATTTATATTGACCCATTAGAAAAACATTATTTATTTAGGAGAAAAAAGGACATTACAATAGGCATTATTTGTAGCTGCTAATTATCACATTGACTTCCTGTAATATTTATAAAATCACTTGAATTCTCTGCTTTTGTTTCTCTTTCTGTCAGAAGGAAAAGAATAAAAGGCAGTGGTAGCGTAACTTACCACCTACTTTCCCTCCCCCATGCCTATAATTATGCTGTTGATCATGCAATTGTTAAATAATCAAATTATATTCTAGGAATATAGTTCTTTCTGAAATATTTTAACAAGAACCTAATGTCTATAGCTTCTGACTTAAAAATTCTACTCTTAGGAGTCTCTGAAGGACATCAAAATAACATAATTTTAAATTGAGAAATAGTAGACACAATCTAAATCTCCAATTAAGTAAACTGTGGTACAAGCAGACAGTGAAATATCATCCTCACTAAAAATGTTTTCTGAAAAATAATGGTGTGGGAAAATGCAAATAATTAAATGAAATAAAAAGCAAAATTACTAACTTTGATCTCAAGAAACACTAGAAAATATCCCTCATATGGCTCTATCTGGGTGTTGGAATTATGAGTGATGTTTCTGTATACATTTCTAAATTTTTTGAGTTTTCTACAGTATGCCTATATTATATAGAATTTCCTAAGATGAATTAAAATAAAAAAGGCTAAAGCATAGAATAACCTTCCCCAAACACACAGGATTTTAAATGACTTGAAATTTCCTCGTACTAGTAATTTTGTGCTTTGTTTTTACAGATCAACTGGTGAGACTGCAGTGAGTGCTTTTGAGATTGACAAAATGTACACCCCCTTGTTCTTCGCCAGAGTAAGGAGCTACACAGCTTTCTCAGAAAGGCCTCTGTAGAGCCTCAAGTCCAGTCCTGTATCACTTTTGCATGAATTAAAGTATATAGCGCAAAAGAGCACCTAAGTTATAAATGTGTATATATATATATATGGAATTGGAACTTATTTTAAATTGTTGGAGTTCTTTTAAGAAGAGTATAAATTGATTATTTTTTTTATTTAAAGGGATAGTCAATTCTTGGGGTGTTTTGAAATTAAGTTGGAGTTAATTTGCTTAAGCATATTTATGTTGTGAGAAACCTTCATATGAAGTTTATCATGCCCTTTTTCAAGCAGATTTATGAGCAGATTTCTGTCACATAAGTCGTCTTCTACTTGAGCATCCTAATATTTAAATGCATCAGGGGAGAGCTCCACTGGATAAGCATTTTATTTCCCGCATGGCATAATGTTTTTGCACTAAAGGCTCAAAGTGTGAGAACCTGTTCTGGATTTGTTTGAAATTGTTTCACCAATAAAGATCATAAATAAATGCTTCTTTCAAGAAAATATATTTGGATGGCCTTTTAAAAATAACAGGATATTTAATAAGAGTCCTAGATAGCCAGCAGAGACTTTAAGAATAATTGCCCCTAGCCAGGTGTGGTGGCTTGCACCTGTGGTCCCAGCTATTTGGGAGGCTGATGCAGGAGGATAACTTAAGCCCAGGAGTTTGAGTCTGGGAGTTTGAGTCCAGCATGGGCAACATAGCAAGACCCTGTCTCTTATTAAAAGAAAAAAAATAATTTCCTCATTTCATCATTGGTCTTCATATGTAGCCACAAACACTGACCTCATGTAGGCACCTTACCAATATATGACATTAAGTGAGAGTGGAATCCCTTAGGACCGGAACACTTCAAGCTCAACCAACTGACTCAGTTGTCATTCTTCACAAAAGAATAGTAGAGGATCATGTAAACCTGAGCCTGACTCTTGTTCCAGTATGAAACTTGGGGGAGAGCACCAGCCACCTAAGAAAATTGTATCTTACCTTTTTACTCAAAGGAGTCCCCCTTCCCAGTAACAGTCCTATTAGTGTTTAATTTCAGAGTTTGTGTCTGGTAGACCTCTACCTGATTCAGATTTGGTTTTGATGTTTCAACCATAGTTAGAGACAATTTCTCATGTACTTTCAGAAATCAGTATCTGCAGCCACTGTTACTTTTAATTGACATTAAAAGACGCTTTGTAGGTTCCCACAATTCAGTATGGGTTAGGCTTTTTAAAAAGTAAATACAGACCAGGCGTGGTGGCTCATGCCTGTAATCCCAGCACTTTGGGAGGTGGAGACAGGCAGATCACCTGAGCTCAGGAGTTCAAGACCAGCCTGGGCAACATGGCAAAACACCGTTTCTACAAAAAAAAAAAAAAAAAAAAAAAATTAGCCAAGTACAGTGGTGCATACCTGTAGTCGCAGCTACTTGGGAGGCTGAGGCAGGAGAATTGCCTGAGCCTGGGAAGTGGAAGTTGCAGTGAGCCAAGATCATGCCATTCCACTCCAGCCTGGGCAACACAGTGAGACCTTATCTCAAAAAAATAATGATAGTACATGTTAAAGGTGAAAACCATACATCAAGTGTGCATATAGAAGGAAGAGAATTGGCCAGGTGTGGTGACTCACACCTATAATCCCAACACTTTGGGAGGCCAAGGCAGGAGGATTGCTTGAGGTCAGGAGTTTGAGATCAGCCTGGACAACATAGCAAGACCTCATCTCTTCTGAAAATTTAAAAAAAAAAAAGCATGGTGGTGCACACCTGTGGTCCCAGCTTGTTCTTAGCCAGGAGATTGAGGCTACAGTGAGCCAAGATTGCACCACTGTGCACCATCTTGGGTGAAGGAGCAAGACCCTGTCTCAAAAAAAAAAAAAAGAGTTCTTAGTTTGACCTTTTGTAGCAATCTGAGAAGTGTGTTTTTCAAGTTGGAAAAGAGGGAGAAAAGCAACTTGCCTAAGATAAGGTAGCTCTTCATGATATGACTATTATTTTTGATATACAAATAAATAGAACATGATTAGGACATAAATATAGCTAGAAAAATATATTCCTAAGGAAAGTGAGATTTGAGAAATCCCTTTGTTCTGCAGCATCCCTAGACTGAATGATCTGTTGCAGATGATGCATACCAAGTTCAAATTTAAAGATTTCTTTGTAAGCAGTAAAGTGACTTTCACTAATTTAACTTGGAACTGGAAAAAGGAACTTTTTTCCAGATTACATTTTCTGTATATTTTTAAAATGTCTTTTTTTTAAATACAAAAGCAATATATATTTGTTGTGAGAAAATTAGAATACACAGATAATTTAAAAATAAAATTAAAAAAACACCCAAAGATAACCAGAAGAAAATTTTTGCTATGGAAACTTTTTCTTCTGGTCTCTGCAAATCCTGCCATAGAAGCTTTTTTTTTTTTTTTAACTTCAGGAGTGTCCTTCCTTTGCTCTATTAGGACATTACAGAAATCAATACTATGGAAAGCTGGCAGCAGTATCTGGATTAACTTTTTAAAAACAATGAGAGCATTTTACAGAAATTTCATTTCAGATAGTGCTGGAACTGTCTGTGTTCAGGAGATACCCTCAGAGGGAATCTGGCCTGAGCACCATCATGTATAATCGCCTCCTCCTGTCTTGCATTTTCCTCCCAGCCCCCTTCCTACCCCTTAGCAGAGGGCCAGGTAAGAGTGCTTGGGGCCCATAGGGGCTGTGGGTGTAGACTTCAATTACACCCCCAGCCCCCAGGGAAAAGCATTAGCTTTGAATCCTCAATCCCAGGCCCTCAACCTATGGTATTTATCTTTGGATTATTCTGTGCATCTATTAAAAATGGGACTATATTGTAAATAATGCTTTGTAAGCTTTCTCTCCCCACATAAGAATGCCATGTAAGCATTTTGTTAAATATTTTTAATGACTTTAGAGTCCAACTTTATACTCCTCTTTATGCGTTTTGGTTTTCTAATTTAATGCTAGTGTAAATGTTTTTGGAATAAACATTCCTGTGGCTAAATCTTTGCATACTTCTTGAATTATTACCTTAAGATGTTTCCAAGAAGTAGAATGACTGAATCAAAGAATGAACATTTTAAAATACCTTAAAATATACATTTTTGGTAAATAATATATACACTCTAGAAAAACTGGAAAATAGATGAGCAGACATAAGAAAATATAAATCACCTGTAGTCACTTTTTGATTTTAATCATCCTGGCCTTTCACACGTATGTGTGATTTTTCAGTCATACATTGAAACACTTCCAGTTCTGTCTCCTTTATCTGATACTTTCATGCTCTGGATCTTAAAACCTGGCCAATCATTTCCCCAGTAATGGATGCTGAGTGTCAGCAACAGCTCTAGGTAAGTTGGCAACCATGACATGTATGGGCTAAGGCTCGCAAGGCTTCTCTGGCTACAGAGAATCTAACTGCAGTCAGAGCAGAAACAGAAGCCAAGGTGAGGCAGTGGGATCCCAGTTTCACAGTGACCATCCATCAGTCACTGTGACCAGTCATGATAGCCTCCACATCCAAAAAGTGATTTCAGTCTTTGGTTTTGTGTAGTGAACAACACCTGCACATTTATCTCCACTGTCTCCTGAAATTCCACTAAAATGGTAGTAAAGAAATAGAAAGGGCTGGGTGCGGTGGCTCATGCCTGTAATCCCAGCACTTTGGGAGGCTGAGGCCAGGGCATCACTTGAGTGAGGGCAACATAGCGAGTTTGAGGGTAACATAGGGAGACCCCCATCTTTCAAAAAAAACAAAAAAGAAAAGGCTTAAGTCCTTCAAGACAGGGAGAAGAGGAGAGGTGCTGAAAGCAGACAAGACAGGTTAGGATGTGGAAAATAGAAAGCAGGTGGGCAAGTGGTAAAGTGGTATTAAGAATGGGCTCTGTGTTGAAGTGCTAGATCCACGACTGAGTTTGAGCAAGTTGGTTAACTCTCCATGTCACAATAAATTAGAGGAAATATTATCATAGTACCTACCCACAGAGTTGAAAGGAGTAATGGATAACACTCCATGTTAATTGCTTAGGACAATGCCTGATTGAGTTGGTGCTCAATAAATAGCAGCCATTATATATATTATAACTGTTGCTGTTCCAGAGAGATCTGAGACATCAGCCAGAAGCAGGGGAAGCTAAAAAGGGCAACTTAACTCAAGTAGCCTCCCACAGAAGGTAAAGCACCACATGGAAACAGCAAGACCCTGCGGGAAGGATCCGCAGCCAATTCCCAGAACTCAAGTTGTCAGGCTCAGGCAGGAAAGTGGAGCCTTCCCCTCTAGGAAAAGATCCCCTCCTCCCCCCCGAAAAAAGACCTGCAGATACTGACATTTAGTAATCAACAAAATAGGTCCTCTCCCACGCCTCTCAGTCAGCAAGTACCACCTACCCACGTAGTTTCTAGTCAACATCATAGTGGCTGCCGCTTGGCTATCAATGGACAAGCAAGGAACACCAGGCATTTGAAGAGAAAGTCTAAATGAGTGACAGAGAATCAGACTTTTTAAGTAAGCAGAGAAAGGGGATGTGATGGCAATCAAAAAATATAAGTAGTAGAAGAAATCTGAAAGACAAAATTCTATTTCTTCAGAGACATGCAAGAAGAAACAAGAACAAAAGGCTATTAGAAAACATTGGAAGTCAGATCCTTTGAATAATACATACGCGATAGCCAAATATTTTGAAGTGTCAGATGACACATAGAATGTCAAAGCTGGAAGTTTCCCTAGAGGTCATTTACTGACCAACTATCCCCATGTGGAGGTGAGGAAATAGGGGCTCACGAAGGGTGAAGTTGTTTGCCTCAGGTGTTAAAACCAGGACCCTCACAAATTAAAGGCGTGTGTTCATGCAGAGGACCTGGCAGTTGTAAGCACTCAGTAAATTCTAGTCTTAATAATGTTTATTAAGAACTTAGATGTTACTGAATGATCTTACTTATTTGTAAAATCTAAAAAAGTCAAGCTGATAGAAGACAGTAGAGTGGTGGTTACCAGGGGCTGGAGGGAAGGGTGGATGGGGAAAGCAGAGATTTTAGTCCAAGGGTATGTAAAGTTTCAGCTAGGAGGAATACATTCTAGTGATCTATGG